TACTATGCCATTGTATTAAAGTGGCAAAAAAAAGGTCATAAAATGATAATGACGTGTAATCCAGTCATTTCTGGGACAATGCATTGTCCAAAAAATGCATTCATGGTGACAGGCCAACCAGCAAGAAAATGAACACCTCATTGTAATCATGAGCTTTACTAACCTGTGTATGTGCAATGATGCGGATAACCTGGCAGTACTTCTTCATGGAACCAAAGTCCTTCTCCAGCTGCTTCTTGCCATCATCATCCTGCCATTTCTTGCAGTATTTGGTGAAGGCCTTCTTCTTGGACTTGTACCTGAGACCCCACAGGAGGAGACACAGAGGTTGGCACAGGTTCTTCATAACCCAAGAGGGCCAGCGGAAGAACACAGTGCATAGCTGCTTGCCATCCCAATCCATGTGGAAGGGGGTGCATTCTCAGCTAATAAGGATTTCAGCTCATGGCACAGTTTCTAAGAAGCACTTTCCACTGGCCAGAGGAGCCCGGAGCTCATCAGGGCACATGGCACCTGAGCGGAGCTGCCACAGGAGGCACCGTAATGTTAGACTCACTCAGTGAAAACACAGGTCTATCCTTTTCACTGGGCAACTAACTGCTTCAATGAGGCATTTGAATGTATTGTAGCAACTCACCAGTTCCTGTAGAATCGGCGCTTGCACTCTTCACTGACATGCTCAGCAAAGATAGTCTTGAAGGAACGCAGGCCACGGGGTGTGCTGACGTAACCAACAACTCCAACCACAATCATGGGAGGGGTCTCAAGAATGGTCACAGCCTCAACCACTTCCTTCTTGTTCACCTCTGCAATAGAAAAAAATAGTTTAGATATGAATTACTTTCCTAGACTTATGGCAGCTGTAGTATTTATTATATGGTTTAGACTGCGCTCAGTGCTCGACATTCATCAAGGGGTATAAAACCCATTATGTCCGCCCGTCGAGGGGATCATCACAGGCAGTATTGAGATCACACAAGAGTGTTGAGTATTTTATGCAATGGGCAGAAAAGCTTTTCTCCCATTAGGAAATATCTATTTCTAAATCACAGCTGAGTCTTTGGACTGACAGACATCTCAATAGTTTTTTTAGAACCAAACAATTGAGCTATAATAAGATGCAAATGCATTTAAAATTACACTGAAAGTCCACTCACTTGAGCCAGGTCGGTCGACCTCGCGGACGATGTGGGTCATGCCGGCCTTGTAGCCCAGGAAGGCGGTTAGGTGCACGGGCTTGGTGGGGTCATCCTTGGGGAAGCTCTTCGCCTTACCACGATGACGACGACTCCTCTTGCGGGGCAAGAAGCCCAGGGATCCGTGGCGGGGAGCCGAAAATTTACGGTGAGACTTGAGGGAGGAAAGAGTCAAGTTAGCTGGTTCATCTGCAGAGCTAACTGTACAAGTGCGGCCTAGCTCAACATTAAGCATAGAGGGTCTGAAATACAGCATGGTCGTATTTGGAATAACGTAAGTAAGTATAAATGCGTTCTAATGTAATAGTGGACAAGTTTAAAATCTGCGTTAGAATACAGGTCAATGTAATTAAAGTTAACCATGCTGTTAACAAGCTTAACATGTGCACGCTTGATGGACACCAAAATGAAGACGCGTAACGTTTTTAACACAAATATACATGCTATTGGTATACATTTTTCGTAAAAGAAAACCAATGTTCTTAAACTTAATAAATACAACGTGTGGGCTCAGAGCCAGATGTCTCCAGAGAGTGAACAGGGAGCAAGCACAGACAGCCACTACTCCCCTGCCTCAATGGGGTCACTATAGCACTGGAATGGAACCACAGCTCATACTGAAGAAGAGCCAGATTACGAACAGTGCGGAGAAAAGGTCCATCGAAACCAGATTAGACATCCGTCAGGATTATTGTAGAATATGTCGTTTAAAAAAGAGAATTACTCAAGTATAAATAAAGTAGCGGCCTTCATTGACTGCCATTTTGAAAGCAGCCGGTGTAGTTCAGTGTAAATACGGAATACTAAAACAATGAAAACAAATATATCCAATCTATTGGTATACATGTTCCATACAAGTAATCCAATGTTCCTGAACTGAATTAAAACAACGGATGCTTAAGATGTGTAACAGATTCCTATACAGAGCGCAGGAAGGTAAACTCACCATCTTGTGTCCAGTCCGATTGAAAGAGGCCTCCGTAAAGGATGACGCTTCTATTTATACAGAAACAATATCGCGGGAATCGGCGAGATTACTGTCTGACCCCAAGAGTCTTCTTCTTTGGTGTTTTACGTCAGTTTGCAGTGCACCCTGTTGCATTACTGCCTCCTTCTGGATTCTACTGTTCCTAGATTCTTTCTATCAGACCGGACCGTTCTTATTATACATCCATGGAGCATCAAGGGGAGGGAAATCATATTCTGGTTGCATTCCATGGAGGTTTCAAACTTCCTTTATAACCTCCTTTAGCTTAGGAACCACTGGACCTCCCTTACCGAAAGGAGAGAAGAAAATGCTGCCCCACAATGCCTTGCAGCCGCAGCATTTGCGCCACACAACAGTCGGCCGTTCACTGAAACAAACGATTATGACGGAGAAATTATATCATGAAAGTTACGGTGCTTATTAAGCATTTTAAAACGTATGTGGTAAGTTGCCAAAGTGCTTTGTTTTGAACGTTCATCAGTATTATAATCAAAAAGAGAAATATGAACGTTAGTTTTTACTGAAATGATCAAATAAAGTCAACATTTCACTGAGCTGTGTGGGGTTTGTTCAACTTTTAAAAGATGTTTGAATGGTGATGTACACACTGTGTACATCACCATTCAAACATCTTTATAAACATTAGTCCTTAACACCTATCACTATGTACTACACAGTGATAGGTGTTAAGGACTAACGTTTATAATAAATACATTTGTATTGATTTTAAGATATTTTCATACAATCATACGTATTGGGATCATTTGTATTAATGTGNTACTGAAATGATCAAATAAAGTCAACATTTCACTGAGCTGTGTGGGGTTTGTTCAACTTTTAAAAGAATTTTTAAATGGTGATGTACACAGTGATAGGTGTTAAGGACTAACGTTTATAATAAATACATTTGTATTGATTTTAAGATATTTTGATACAATCATACATATTGGGATCATTTGTATTAATGTGGACCGGAGGGAGAGGGTGACGAGCATACATTTCACTTTCCTTTTTTATTTCAATTACAACTTTGGTCATGAAGAATATGTTTCTCTGTTGTCCACGTTCATAAAGCATAAAACAACAGCATCAGAGCACGGTGCAGAGTCTCTAGATGAGTCCCTCGTTCTTATTAAACATCCATGTAGTCCGTTGTATAGAACACTGTAGTTTCCATAGTTTCACCACAGCAGCAGACGCACACAATGACGTCCGCTGGCGCATCATAAACACGTCAGATAGTGAAAGTGCATTCGGATTCTCTAAAGTACCGCAGTCTCTTCTCCTAAGTCTTTTTGAATTCTCCTATCCACTATCCCTTAACCCCGTGACGTTTCACTCAGAGGTCAAAGAATAGGAGATAGGGTTAGAATTTAGGAGCTGATTTTTTCCTAAATTAGGAAACCGAATATGATTTCCCTCCCCTTGATGCTTTCTCCACATTCTAATATATATCCTATGTTGTCTTCAACTCTTCCCATTATCCTTAGCCTTCTCATCATTTCCTTTCTTTGTTGCGTATTTTCCCTGCGTGCCGAAAAGACGTGTTCAACTTTTTCTTATTGCATAGACAGATAGATAGATAGATAGATAGATAGATATACTGTAGATAGGTAATTTATTCATCCCAATTTGGGAAATGTTTGCATTGCAGCAGCATAATAAAACACAAGGCAATGTACATAAGAGAAACGAAGACACAGAAATAAACAGTCCAATATATTTCAGAAATAGAAATAGAAATATTAGCATTAACAAATTAAAAAGTTAAAAGATACAAATTAAAAATAATTACAGAACCCTGTTGGATGTTTCCCCAAGACCCAAATAGTCTATTTACAAACTATGGTTAAGCATCTTTGAATCAAACTGATAAATAGATAACAGAGCAAATTAGGGGATACACATCAAATTATTTCATTTTCATTTCAAACCTTTATTTAACCAGATTGGTCCCATTGAGATCATAGATCTCTTTTTCAAGGGGAGACCTGCAATGAAATACATTATTTCATTTCACATAATGAATGTATAAAAAGACCGTACCTTAAAAACATTAAATTAAGATAAGATAAGAGATAAGATGTACTTTATGATCACAAATTGGGGAATGTTTTCATTGCAGCAGCATAAAAAAACAAGGCATTGACATAATTAGAAATTAAAAGATTAGAAATAAACAATTCTAAAGTAGAAACATCTCAAAATAGTAACAGAAATGAACCGGCATTGTGGTTACAGTCAATCCAATCCGGACTGGATAACAGCCTCACAGTTCTAACCACCACAGATTATTAAAGCCATACATCTTTAAAAAACGGTTTGAGAAGATCTAAATATATATAAATATAAGATGTCTTAAACTCAACAGCCACTAGATGTCATTGTTTGACCTCACAAATCATCTCACTGACATGGTCAAACAAATATTAACAATTTATTGAGATATTTATGTGTAGCCTACAAAAGGAGAAATGTCTTTTGTTTAAAATGAAATCATTATTTTTTGTATTAAGTGTATTGAGTTCTGTCGTAACGTAAGGGCTTTATTAATTACTAAGTTGTGAAAAATGGGTCGCTGTCTGTAGGGCTTGGGAGGAGGGGTCTGTATTTGTTTTGTTTTGATACTTTTTGTGTATGAAAAGTGATTGAGGAGAAACTGCACAATATTGTGTTTGATTTTTTGCATTGTTGTATTATTCTGTATGTTAGAGTTTATAACCTTTATCGGTTTATTAATCATAACTAATGTACATATATTGTTCTTAATAGTCATTCACAAACTTGTTGGGGAGAAAATCACAGAATGCCTAAAATGCAAGCCATCTCAACATTTACTTCCATTTAATTCATTAAAAAAATCAGAGGAGACACATTTCAGGTAAAGGCATACATTTTTTGTTTTATGATCCAGTGTTGTAGCTTTTATATAATCTTTATTGTAGGACAGATATTCAAATAATTTCACATGGAGGTAGGTACCAAACAGTCTTTGCCAAATTTGTCATTTTGGATCTGGGTGTGTTGGTTCCAGAAAGAATTGTGCTAAATTGTTCATATATTCTTGCAATGTAATCATAACATGAAATGCTAAATTCTTTATATTTAAAGAAGCCTTGCTTCAATCAGGATGTGTGTCTCATTTACTGCCGCTTTCCTCCAGTTAATAGATCACAAACGAGGCTTGGATTCAACAAACATGTACTTATCTTTCTGATTTCATTTCACAACACTTGTCTTACAATTGTTTAGTGCTCCAAGTGATCAAATTAAAACCATGCTTCACTGCTACAGGAATGCAGTGAAGACAATGCAGGGTGTATCTGGATTCTGCACTGTAAACAGTTGAACACACCATGCAGTTGGTTCAGGCCATGTAACGTGGGAATGAGAACATTTCCCTCAGACCAATGCAACAGTACTGATGTACTTTCAGCCCTTAAGAAGGTTTGTATTTCCCCACAAAGCATTTACCTCTAACCCCAATTTCCTGCAGATTAATTTTGTGCACAGAGAAAGAGAAAATCAATTATTCTCTTATTTAAAGAAACGCTTTGTTAAAGTTTACTCAAGTAATCTGCATGCATAAAGGTCGTGATAAAAGAGTTTTCAGGATTGTTGTTCAAGATTATTATTGTGTTCATGGATGTGAAGTGTGTGTCAAGTTTTATTCAAGTCTTTCCACATTTCCAGAGAGAGAGACATCCTTGATTTGTGGGTGAATCCTCTTCATTTATGTTCAAACAAAACCAAATCCGGGTCCGTCAGAGACTTTGTCCCGACTGTCCTTATGTCGAGCTGTGAACAGTCACCCAGCAGCACACGGAGCATTCAGGATCCCAGTCGCTCTCGATCCAGGTTCATTTTTTGGAAGAAAGTCTTCCCAAACTCATAGGAGCTTATCATGACGGCACAGGCCGGGGCCACCTTGATCACCCTGGGCATGAAACCTGGAGAAAAGATCAAGTCTTACTCAACACGTCATACAGGGGTGAAAGAAGTGCTTTGACATTTCACTTGATTAAAAGTACCAATAGTAAAGTCAAAGGAAAAATCAGAAGAAACATAAAGAAAAAAGTAAGTACCTTGAAATTGTATTTAGGTAAAGTACTTGAATACATGTTCTTAGTTATATTACAGCCCTATAAAGCATAAGTGTGTACCTGCAAAAAGGCCCCTGTAGCCCATCTCAGCCCATATTGACTTCATTATGTGCCATGTGGACGTTGTTCTCTTTGAGGCAACTAAGAATGGAAAAGTCCGGTTTAGAACATGCTACACACAAAAAGAAATCAATTTGATTTGAAATGATTGAAGATAAAAGTACAGACCTCCCAGAGCATCTATTTCTCCCAGCTGGATTTGTCTCCGTGTCTTCACCACGTCAAAAGGCAGCGTCAGGATCGCAGCGATCTAGACAGGAAACAGTCATATAATGGACAGGAAAACAATGGCCTGATTCTCTTTATATATCCCTGACGATGCATTCGCTGCTCACAGCTGGACCTGAAACTTCTTCTCTCCCATCTTGAGTTTACTTGTTGCAACAGAGGTCAGGTGTGTCTCACTAATAAAGGCGAGTACTCACAGCTCCAGAGACGGCTCCTGCAGTGAAGCTGATGGAGAAGTTGGCCTGATTCATCCGGGACTGTTCACACAGCCGAGCCTTCATCAGCTCATAGTTAAACCAGTACAAAGCTGCAAATACACAAACGGCGTCGGTTTGTACGCTGATTTCTTGCTTTAACCCACAGACATCTCACACCTCAAAAATAACTAGGATGTTGTTTTTTCCATTTTGTGCACTAAAAAAGAAAAGGTTTGTTTTGGGATTATTTCTAATCTGATTTGAGGGTCAACGGTGTTTTGTGCTAAAGTGATTGTAAACTACCTTGAGGCTAATTTGTACGTGAATGTCTTTAACACTAGAACCCCCAACGGGTACATTTTACCCGCAGCTGTTTCTTGATTGTATGTAACTTTTTTTCAATAAAATATTCAAGTCTCCCAGTCAGTGACTTTTCCTGAAAGTGTGTTATATAGCACCCTCTGTTGTTAAAAATTGTCAATATGAAGTCAGATTGAAAAAATGGCCATTAATACCCATTAGCGCCAGCGGGTAATATTTACCTTATAGAAAATGCAGTGATTTTCGCGCTATTGATTTCACTCAAAAACATAAACATGACGTGTTGCTATCGCAACGCCTGTCGTTTACTGCGGTTCCTTATAGATAGAGAGATAGAGATAGATAGATAGATAGATCGATAGATAGTTAGTTAGTTATAGATAGATAGAGAGAGAGAGAGAAATACTTTTAGCAATATTTTATAATCCATGCTATCTGCACACTATGTATCCTATGAAAGCTGAGAGTCCACAGATTCTATTGGTATAAGTTTCATCACTGTGCGATCAAAACTCACTGTTAACCCTGTGTTCTAGTATGATAAATAAAATAACATTATACCTTGCAAATCAATGCATTCTAATAGCGGGTACATTTTACCCGTTGGCGGTTTTAGGTATACAGCGACCCCTGGCGGTTCTAGTGTTACATAATAAATGAATGCAGGATGTCGGAACTTTAAGTCTAGATGGTAGGGAGAAGAAGTATAAAGAGTGGCGGAGATGTGTCTTTTCCCATCCCATACTGTATGTTAAGAAGAAAAATATTGAGTACTATTGATTATTTGAGTATAAAACACTCAGTCCCTGTAAGTCTAGAAGGTGGTAGATGAAGTGTGTAGTTTTAATGGCAGAAGAACACTCACAAACTTCTCAAAGCACTCCAGCAGCTCAAGTTAATGCTTAATAATAATAATAATAATAAATGTTATTTGTATTGCACTTTACATTTGAAACAAACCTCAAAGTGCTACAGTACATAATAAAAAAAGATAAAGAAAACCATTTGCAAGAGTCAAAATGTATAAACAGGTTAAAAAACAAGTTTAGAAACACGTTTTAAAAAGGAGAGGCAGGGTTATTAAAACCGGCTTAAAAAGCTAACCAAATGCTTTGTTAAAATGGTAGGTTTTTAGTGCTCTCTTAAAAGTGTTCACAGGTTGAGGAGCTCTGAGATGCTTCACTTTCTCTCCCTCTGCTGGTATTTTAAACTGTAGTTTTTTGGTTCGAAATCCAGCTGATTTTCAAGAATACAAATAGTTAAATAGAATAACAGAGTGTTTAAACACGACTTGATTAAAGGTCGACTGAAAAATACTCAAGATATCAAATAACAGCAGAGGAGTGAAATATGCTGCAGGAGAGGTTTGACAAGTTTCTATTGATGAAAATACTTTTCATGAAGCAATATTGTAACAACCATGTTTGAAGTCAACAGGTAGGAATATAAAAGACTGTCTCGAGTCTAATTAAAGCATATTGCGTTGTGTGTTGCTGCTCTCACCAGAGAAGGGTACGTCTCTGAGCACGGTGGGTCCCCAGCCCCTCCACAGGGACAGCAGCCCGCCCTGAGCCACAGCCGAGCGGATACCCACCCGCAGCTCGCTGTAGGACAGCTGGCGGGACTGCATCTTGGTCCTGACCAGCTCCAGAGGGCTGATCACCGTCACAGCCCCCACTGCAACACACACACACACACACACACACACACACACACACACACACACACACACACACACACACACACACACACACACACACACACACACACACACACACACACACACACACACACACACACACACACACACACACACAGGGAGTCAAAGATACACATAACATACTACAGTCAGGATATCTCTTGTGTGATTTAGTGGACATACATCTGGCCAGACCCCCAGCAACAAGAGGGATGTGGCTGCCCTGGAAACCCAGGCCGTATCTCAGGAAGTCCCGCAGCTGGTCGTAGCAGGTGAAGTAGATGACCGTGGCAGGGACAGCCATCACCCTGCACAGAAACATGAACATGAATGAAGGACTGCACTGTACATTAAATGCCATAACAATAGAAAATGGAAATATTAAAAAGAGCTCCTGAAAAGTCCACTTTTTATTGATACAGTGTTTTCGTAGGACAGTAGCACTACAAGCACATGATGACCTTATAGAATAAGATGCGTTGCTAAAGATTGAACTACCCAACAGTAAAATGCTAAATACATGTAAATATGGGACTTTTACATTTTAAAGTATTTTCTATTATTGTTTTAGTCTTTAATTAGAAGTTATTCATACTTCTTGCACTACTGTTTGTCTACAGTAACATGTACTTCATTGGAGATTCATTCACATGGATGGACTTAAGATCGATTAAGGACATTATGTGTTTTTTTATTTGGCTGTACTTGCCAGTGCATACTTGTGATGATAATCCTGTGTTAAAGACTTCATATTCTAAGCATTTTAATATGTTTAAATGCTTTTCCATTTGGAAAATACAAAATATATATATTAAACATTTTGTCCTCACCCATAGTGAAAATACAAATAAAACTCAATAGGAAAGAACAAATGCTATTGGCCACTTATATCAGTATAATTTCCCCCCAAAACAAAAATGTATTTTTCAACACATTTATTCTTAACTAATTGTGTTTTTGTAATTAAATGAAAGATTATAAACTCACAGTGTTGGTGGCAGTCCACTCCACAAAGATCTGAAACCTTCGTGCCGAGTTATCTTCACAAAGGCATCCTATGGAATAAACAAACATACTTACAAACGTTTTTTGCAACAAGATAGAGGCAAAACCAAGCTGCTGATGCACTAATACTCACAAGCGTCCCACTGAAATGGGTTGGTGTTTTGTACCAGCTGGTGCAACTGGTTCCAGTCTGACACACATAGACGTGATCCATCAGCCCGTTACAATACATGAAGCATTTCCCTGAGAGACAGAAAACCCACAGGGGTGCAGTGTGAGAAAAAGTTTTTAGAGCGTACTTGTCCATGGACAAGTGAGTTTGGCAATTTACTTGTCCGAATACATTTTTCACTTGTCCAGAATGGACACAAATTGGGGCCACTGGAATCTTCTTCTTTGCCATCGTATTTTACATTTTCCCACGGTTTTTACGACACCGCTAACATAAGTGAGCGGTAAGATTTTACTGCATCACACATAGGGTTGGGTATCGTTTGGATTTTAACGATTCCGGTTCTGCTTTTCGATTCCAGTTATTTTCGGTTCTCGATTCCGGTTCTTTGAGAGGGTAAAAATAAGTCCCATGACAAGCTGGGAGAAAAATATATTTATGAAAACATTAAGTCAAATCTGTATTCCTATTTACAAATCACTTCATACTGTTTAATTTCTTACGGTTATTGAATACAATTATATAAAAATAATCTCTGCATTGTTTAGTTAGTTCTAAGTGGTGCAGTTTGAGAATGTACAATTGGCCCAGTCTCCTCTGATGTTACACTGCAACCTGCCTGTGAGACAGAGTCCAACCACACATGTCCAACACATAGGCCTAATAATAATAATAATATTTATAGCCTATAGCCTATAGGCCTAGCACTTTTCTACAACTCAAAGACGCTTGCACGCTTACACATGTCCTGCAATACACATGCTGCAGCTGCCCAGCTGCTCACTGTTTGTAAAAGTAAATAAATAGTATTTTCATTTCAATAACTTTCCCTCCTCACCTCATACCTCAAAGACCGCACCTACAGGGTTACTTGGAGAGGGTCCGAGTCCGACCCTTGTCAATTAACTAGTCGGACTCGGACCCTCTCCAAGTAACCCTGTAGGTGCGGTCTTTGAGGTATGAGGTGAGGAGGGAAAGTTATTGAAATGAAAANCCTTGCCCCCGGACCCCCCCTAGAGGAGGTGAGGTCCACCACCTGCCCACACCCCCTGTTAAATTGTCTCACCGACATTGAGGATGCTTCCTACGCCCATGTTTTATTCCATGTGTCAAGTCAGGCAAATTGGGTCAAACATATTATTGCATCAATGATCTGTTAACATTAAAATCACTAAATATGCTGTTACTATTTTTGCTCTAGGCAACTCAAGGGCTCAGGTAATGTGATTACTATATGAATAATTCTCCAAAATAACATAAAATGCATAGGGTTT